CAGAGTGGCTCAGCCTGTAATCCCAGCACTTTGGGAGCCCAAGGCGAGTGGATTGCCTGAGCCCGCAGGTTTGAGACCCACCTGGGCAAATTGGCAAGACCTTGTCTCTACAATAAATCAAAAATTAGCTGGGCGTGGTAGTGTGTGCCTGTAGTTCTGGCTACTTGGAAGGCTGAGGTGGAAGAATAGCTGGAGCCCAGCAGGTCGAAGCTGCGGTGGCCAGGAGCGGCCACCGCACTCCAGTCTAAGTGACAGAGTGAGACTCCAACTCAAAAAAAAAAGAAAGAAAAATAGGGACAAGAGACAGAGTGGGATACATAAGAGAGGGGACACAGAAAGAGACAGAAAAACAGAGAGAAGGACAGACAGAGGCTGCAAGAGGTGCACCAGATCCCTTCCCCTGGCAGTCTGTCCATTGGATGACATATGGCCCACTGGATGTCACTCAAGATCATTGTCACCAAGTCTGTTTTCCTAGTTTGTCTCCTGAGAATTGGAACACTGAGTGCTGTTGGGTCACACCCTGCATTCAGTTGGGCGGGAGTCAGTGTCAGCATCCTGCCTCTGCTACCCCTCCACCTGGTGGAGTCTTGGGCTCTGTGCCCACCCCCAGAATGCCCATCACACCTCTCCACCTGCCAGCCTCCTGCCCATCCTTCAAGGTCAGCCTGTGCCCCTCCTCCAAGCAGCCCCCAGATGGAATTGGCAGGCAGGGTCCTCCTCTCTGTGCCTGGAGGGCTCCTTGGTCATCTCTGTGCATGTCTAGCTGCCACTGAGACAGGCCGGCCTTGAGAGTCAGGACTACCCATCTCAGCAGCCAGCGTGAAGTTGGTGACCATCTGCTCAGTATAAGAATAATGGCGTGAGTTAGTGGGTGAATGAATGAATGGAGAGGAACTGAGTAGCCCGAGGGAGGGCCAGTGATGATCAGGAGCTTCCTGCTCTTCTGGTCCATCCTTTCCATGGGTAAGGAGGCTGAGGCCTGGGGCAGGGCAGGCAGGGTGCCCAGACTGGGGCCCCGACATACATTCTCCCAGGGTCTGACCCTCGTGGCTCTCCCTGGGAACAGGTGCCACACTCTGGGGTTGAGGCCCCCTCTTGGTTCCAGGGGGAATGTGGCCATCAGCTTCAAGGTCCTGGGCCTTTCCCTCCAGCCAGTCCTGGACCCCTGGGTCCCAGAAGAGCCGGCAAAGCCAGCCCTGGCCTGGTTGGGATATCTGGGGGAAGAATCTCCCCTACTGCACACCAGGCTCTCTACCAGCCCCTGAGGGAAGGCTCCAGGCCCAGCACTGGCAGGTCCCAGGGAGGTGGCTTATGTCTTTGTGGCCAGGTTGTGCCTGTCATGGAAAGCAGTGCATGTGGTCAGTGGGAGCCTGTGGTCGGGAGAGAGGGGGCCTGGGCCCGTCCAGCATTCAGCCTGGAGACAGGAAGACCAGGGAGCCAGGGGGAGGTGCAGGGCTGGGGCAGCTCTAGGTTCAGCTGTGGGGGTGGCATGTTGGCATGAGGTGCCTCTGGGTTGTCCAGTGAGAGACAGCCATGGGGCCAAGGACATATGAGGGGCAGCCGAGGGGAGAGACCAAGGTCGTGAGTACACACAGGAGGTGGCTGAAGCGGCACAGATAAGAGCCCAGGGCAGGGAAGCTGGAGAGGGTGCCAGCCCAGGATGTGGGCAGCTGCCGGTGACACAGGCTGGAGGGACAGGCGGAGGGGGAGATGCGAGCTTGGCTGTACAGAACATTCACTCCAGATGGGGCTGAGGCCCCTCACACTCTCCACCTTCCAAAGCCTGAAGCCTGTGGGCAGGTTTTACCCAGGAGGGCTTCAAGGAGGACGTGTTTTCAAGGAAGAGGCAGGAAGCTGGCTCAGGGGACATTCAAGAGCCCCACCTTCTCCAGTTGGCAAAAGTGTCCTGTCCTCTGAGACTCAGGGGTCAGACCCTGCAGAGTCCTCTGTGCAGGCCCCCACCCTGGCCTCGGTGGCCCTCTGTTTGGGGAGGACTTTGTGACTATCTGCCCACCCCTCCCTCCAGTCTGGAAACCAGAAGGCCAGAAGAGTCTGATTCTACGGGATTGGCCCAAGAGTGGCCTGTGCCCCTCTAAGTCCATTCTTGCCCTCTGTCTGGCTCTGCACCCAGGAGGCTGGCCTCCACAGACTGCACCACTCAGAGCCCTGGCCTCGAATCTCGGTGAGGCATGGCCCGTGGAGGCACCAGCAGTGCTCAGGACAGAGGCCCACTCCCTTGGGGGCCTCCTCCTTTTGCCTACAGCCAGCATTCCTGCAGGGACCCTCGCCCATGGCTGTCATCCACTGGTTCTGGAGACACCACTCCCTCCTTTGGCCCCATTAGAGCCAGTCCCGGGCCGCCGACTCTCGCTGCCTCCCTTAATGCTGCCCACACCTTTGTAAACGCTCTCAATTGCCCTGCAAGACGGCATGCCATCTGCTTCCTTCCAGGGCCCAACCCACACAGGGTGTGGGTAAAGGTTTGTGGAATGCAGGGCCTTAGAGGTCACTCAGGTAAAGCTTTGCTTTTTACACAAGGGAAAGGGAGGCCGAGAGAGGGTGAGTGACCTGACCAGGGCCACCCAGCCCCAGGGTCAGGAACCCTGGCTGTTCTGAAAAGACTATGGGGAGAACAAGTATTATCTCAGCAAAGGTTGGAAAAGCATTTGTCCCCCTCTGCTCCCTGCCTCTCCAGGTCACTTGAGCATTTCCTCGGTAGCAGGAGCAGATGTGTTTGTAGCAAGTAATAAACCCACGAGGGCCATTTGCACCTCCCAGAGGCAGGTGCCCTGGGAACACAGCCAGCACCCTCCTCCCTGCCTCCTGCCCCAGAGGGTGGGGCCCCTGTGCGTGGCACAGGCAGCCTCCCCTCCACCCCTCAGCCGCCCTCCTCAATCTGCCCACCAGCAATGCACAGCCGCTCCTGCCCAGGGAACCTTCCAATGCCCACCTGACCCGGGTGTCCTGCTTCTCCAAAGCCACATTCCTCAGCCCCTGAGCTCTGTGTGACATCTGGGGCATTACCCAGAGAAAACAATTCGCCTCTGCTGGGAGGTCTTCTTACTGTGGTGTCTGGAGCCCATCTCTTACGATACCAGATGTCGCCACCAGGCAGCGAGTGATGCCCACTTGGAAAGTGGGAGGGAGGGATCAGCGAGGGAGGCATGGAGGGCCATGTGCCCCCCCCAGGGGGCACAGGCCATCTCAGCCCGGTCCACTCACCAGGTGTATATGAGCACAGCCAGGAGGACAGTGAGTGGGACAGCCAGGAGGATTGACTGGATGGCGATGATGACCACAGTGCCCGGGCTCTGGGGTCCCTGGACAGCCCTGAACTCCTGGGATGAGGGCAGTCATGGGGGGCACACAAGCCATCAGGAAAGATTTTATTTGACCAGGAGAACTTGGGCAGCTGGTGAGTCAACCCTCCCCCAGGGTAACATGGGGCCAGAGGTCCAGGCTTGAGAGAAAGGGTCCTTGCAGATAGTCGCATGGTCACGGTGCCTCAGACGGTCCAAGACTGGCCTTTCCCCCCTGCCCCTTGCCTCCCACCCCTACTGTTCGACTTGCACCTCCGGCCCCCGACCTTGCTGCAGGCGGGTCTCACTGGACCACTCTGTCTCAGTCACGGATCCTCTGCCACTCAACATGAGGAACTTCACCCTGAACAGGAAACCAAGCAAGCGTTGAGGGTGAGGGGTCCCCAGGTCCCGAAACCATCAGGCTCTTGTGCCCGAAGTCTAGCCCCTCAAGTCCCGGGCCCTGGGGAGAGTAGCTTTGGGGGTGGGGTGGCGGGCTGGGGCTAAGGAGAACAGTCTTAGAGCCCAACAGAAGGGGTTTGAATCAAGGTATGGCATTTCCAGCTGTGTGACTTTAGCTGTGTCTCCCACCCTCTCTGGGCCTCCGTGTCCTCACTTGGGAAACACGGGGGTGGGTATTAGATCTCTCGGCACCTGAGTGAATCAAGCATTTAGTGAGGAGATATGGGCCGAGTTTAGATCACACCCAGAGGAACCCTCTGTCTAGGGAGACTCCACGTGAGATAGTCCATGGGGACTGAGGCCTGAGGTGGGAAGCCCTCTGCTCAGGAAATGTGAGACACTTCATCGAAGCCACCCAGCCCCTGATCCCTGCCTTACCCTCCTTTAGCAGAGCTAGAGCAGGGAGACCAGGTGCCCCCTTGGGCCCCGCAGGACCTCCCAGGAGCTGCCCAAGGCTGTTTGGGCACAGGCAGGCGCATCCCCACCTCATCCAGGGTCCCGCAGAGACACTCACCTGTAGGGACCTGAGCCCGGCAGGGGGTAGTTGCAGCCCCTTTTGGTGGGGTCACAGCGGGTATCATTGCCGATGCGAAGGACACGGAACTGGTTTCTGTCCTGGCCACCCTGGTAGTGGCCCAGTTGGCCCTCAGCGTGAGATAGTAGCCCCTCTGGGGGAGGTGGGCAGGGGCAAGGGTGTCATCTACCATCTGTGGGGCCGTGAAGCTCTGGGTGGCGGAAGGGGGCACTGTGGTCAGACGGTGAGGGCTGCACAGGCTGCAGGGGCAGGACCCCACCCCGTCCCACCAGATCCCAGAGCCCTCCCAAGCCCCAAGCCCCTCAGCACGTACGCCCCATCCTGCCCCACATCTGCTGCTCCTCTCAGGCCCAGCTCCCCGTGGCACAGAAGGAAAACCAAGGCCCACCCCGGCAGCACCCACCATTGCTGTGGGCTCCCACCAGCCAGATGGTGTCCATGTCGGAGACGCTGGGGCGGTTGAACAGCCCCAAGGCTGCTCCAGGGTGAAGGTGGACTGGGTGACCCTTCCTGCCAGGGTATCGCTCCAGAGCTGGGGTCCATAGCTGATGTGCTCTGGGGTGGGCGCGAGGCAGAGAGGAGGGGCTGAATGGGGCAGCCAAGCCCTCAACAGATATGGTCTCCCTGCCCAGTCTGAGGGGGGAGACACAGCTTGGGAGTCCCAGTCTGAAGGAGGAGTCAGGGGCATTGCTGGGGAAGTCAGATCAGGCACTCATCAGGAAGTCTCCCTGGCAACTCTGGGGCATGGCAGGTGTCCGAGTCCAGACCCTGGCCCCTCTCTTGGGAACCTACTAGGGTTGGGGGGCCTGTCCAGCTCTGCCCTGCTCCACCTGTGTTACCGGGGTCTCCAGTCATGGGCAGGGCCCAGGGAGGGGCAGACAATGGAGGGACAGGAGGCCCCTCCTCCACGGCAGGCACGGTTCTTGTCAGGGTGAGACTTGAACTTGGGTGAGCCCGAGTCCTATGCCGTACTCTGCTCTAGACATGACCAGCGGCCTGGACTTTGAGTCCCTCCAGCTCCACCCACGTGGTCCAGGGGGTTTGCTTGATGGGAAGATGAATGGCTTGGAGGAGGAAGCAGGATGACACAGGAGGGCCCCTCTGGCTGAGACCCCAGGGCTGGATGTGGACTGCCCCCGGGGGCCATGGGCTCTGAGGCCAGAGCCCGGTTCAGGGTTTAGAATGTCCTCTCCTCTCACCCAGGTCTCTGCCACCTCCCACCCCGGCTCCAAGGCCTCTTCCCCATCAAGGTCTTGTCCCCCTGTCAGGGCCTCTCAGCTCCCCTGGTGGTGGGGACAAGCAGCCCGGCCATAGACCAGAGGGCACTCAGGATGGGCGATGTCCCTGTGTCCAGCCTTGCTGCCCAGAGAGCTCAGACCTCCCCAGACTCCTCCCTGAACCACTCAAACCGAGGCAGGACCATGGTGCCCTTCCTCTTCCCAACCCCAAAAACTGGGGCAAGAAGAAATATGAGGTGGGGTTTTACCAAGTCTCCAGCCACCGCCCCTTGTCAGCTCCGTTCAGTCCAGTAGGATTCATTTTCACAGAATTCAACTCGACGCCAAAGGTTCAGGCCAGAACCTTCTGTGGGTGGGGTGTGGAGTGGGGGCCTGACTTGATTTCTCCTTTCTCAGAGCTCTCAGTTCTACCTCTGAGGCCCAGGGCACTCTGCAGGCAGTGGGTACATAATACTTGGAAAGAGGAGTGGCACCACTGAGAATGGGGGAAGGGACTGGACACTCATCCTCTCTAGTTTTATTTATTTTTTTGTTTATTTAGAGACGGGTCTCCCTCTGTCACCCAGACTGGAGTGCAGTGGCATGGCCATCGCCCACTGTAGCCTCAAACTCAAGTGATCCTCTCAGGTGGCTGGAACTACAGGTGAGCGTTACCACAACCAGCTAGTTTTTTTAAAAAAATGTTTTGGGCCAGGTTTGGTGGCTCAGCCTATAATCCCAGCACTTTGGGAGGCCAAGGCAAGAGGATTGCCTGAGGCTGTGAGTTTGAGACCAACCTGGGCAACTTGGCGAGACCGTCTCTCTACAAGAAATTAAAAATTAGCCGGGCATGGTAGCATGCACCTGTAGTTCCGGCTACTTGAAAGGCTGAGTCGGAAGGATTTCTGGAGCACAACAGGTCGACGCTGGGGTGGCCGTGAGCGTGCCACTGCACTTCAGCCTGAGTGACAGAGTGAGACTCCAACTCAAAAAAACAAAAACTAAAAACTGTGTGGTGGCGTACACCTGTAGTTCCGGCTACTTGGAAGGCTGAGGCGGAAGGATTACTGGAGCCCAGCAGGTCAACACTGGGGTGGCTGTGAGTGTTCCGCAGCACTCCAGCCTGGGTGATGGAGTGAAAATTCAACCCCCCCAAAATGTTTCTGTTTTGTACAGATGAAGTGTCCCTTTGTGGTTCAGGCTGGTCTCTTGGCCTCAAGTGGTCCTCCTGCCTCAGCTTCCCGAATCTCTGGGATTCCGTGCACGAGCCACTGCTCTCGGCCCATCTAGTTTAAGAGCCACATGAGGGAATGATGCCCACTGTCTTTCAACTTCTCCTCAGGGAAAGGAAGGAGGGAGGAGGGGAGCCCCAAGAGAGTTTTGGGGAATGAGAACAGCATTACTGCTGCCCCATCTTAGGGGTGGGAGACCATTGTCTGTCTTGTGATCCTTTGGGGTGGGCCGTCTCCCCTACCCACCAAGCACCCCATCCTCAGCCCTGGAAGGGGATCGAGAGACAGCAAGGGGAGGAATTTCATCCTCATGCAGCCCAGGACGCAGCGGGTGCCCCTGCGCTGACCTCCCCCCCACTCACCCAGGCCCATCCCGGGCAGAACGTGAGTCAGCAGCAGCAATAGCGGCACCTGTAGCAGGGACGATGCCCCACTAAGCCTCATGGCTGGACCAGGCATCCAGCCGTCTCTCCGTTCGTCCCAGGGTTGTGTGCAGTGTCCACACCCCCAGAGGCTCTTCCGTCTGTGTAGGGCCAGGGGAGGCTGCTGCTGACATTTTCCACTTCCCCTCCCAGCTGCCCCTCTTCCCAAACAACTGGTTGGACGGGTTTGGGGCAGAATCTGAAGGCCTTGTGGACTTGGCATCACCAGGGAGACATCCGAAAAGAGCAATCTCTTCCACGACAAGCCCAGACACCCCCACCCTCCAGGAGGGCCTGGCAAAGGAGGGGCTGAGGAAGGAGAGGCAGCCTGGGGGCCACGGCGTCCTGTGGCGTCTCCTCCTCCAAACAATACCCGGCCTGGCAACTAGGGCTCCTCAAAGTTCCCTTGTGTGGAAGGGAGTGACCTCGCTCCTTAGCATAGACAGGGACGGGGGCTTGGCCAAGAGTACCCAGGCCGCCAGGGCAAGGCTGGGGATTAGATCACACCCAAATGCAAGCTCTGGGCACTCCCTACATGGCTCTGCTGTCCCCCTGCGGCCTGGCCCCGGGAGGAGTGCTCCCAGGCCCCATCCATGGGACCAGCTCTCTCTCCCACTCCCTCACCAGCCTGCACCAGAGCAGGGCAGTCCCTCCTCAAGACAGAAAGTTACCAGATGGGGCCAGGGCAGGTGAGCAGAGCACGTGTGACCACCTCTCGCCTGGATGGGAGCACCAGCTCCCTCAACCAGCCTCCACACCGGGCCAGAGTCACCACCCTAAAACTCGGATCATGTCAGGTGTCTCCTCTCCTGAAAACCCAACAGATTTTTGTCACCCCCGGCCTCCATTCCTGGGTGTGGAGGGGATGTCCTGAAAGGGACATGCCGCAGTTCCCTGGGGGGATTCAGATGCCTACCCACACACTCAAGAAAAACTTCCAGAAGGGGCGTCTGTTATGAACAGGACAGGCCAAGAACCTTGCATGCGTGGAGGGGAGAATCACTGGCCACCAGTGACTTAAGGTTAAAGATTCTCCCACTAGGCTCCCTCACTTCTTAAGGTGCCTTCCTGGAGCACTTTCCCATAGCCTCACAACTCTGAGCCTTTGCACATGCTGTTACCCTCCCTGGAATCACCTCCTCCCTAAGGAGAAAACTCATACAGCTGCTTCAAAACCCGTTCAGATATCACCTCTGTAAAGTCCTCCCAGATACTCTTCCCAGTCTGTTTCCCAGATCCTCAAGCACAGAGTGACTCCCTTCTCTCTTGATGCTGCCATGGCACTTTGTGCAGACCAGTGTCCTTCCTGCTGCTCAATGACCAGTCAGCTATGCCCTGACCAGCCTCTCGGGGCCCAACCTCGGCTGGGGCAGGAGGGAGGCTGATTGTCTTTGTTCATTCTGACTGCTGTAACAAAATACCATAGACTTGAGTGGCTTATAAACAACAGAAATATATTTCTCACAGTTTTGGAGGCAGAGAAATCTAAGACCAAGATGCTGGAAAATTCTGTGTCCAGTGGGGGCCTGCTTTTTGGCTTATAGAGGGTGTCTTCTAGCTGTGTCCTTACATGGTGGAAGGGGCAAGGAAGTCCTCCGGGGTCTCTCTCTTTTGAGTGGGAGTCTCACTCTGTCACCCAGACTAGAGTGCAGTGGCACACTCCTGACCACTGCAGCCTCGACCTGCTGGACTCTGGTGATCCTTCCACCTCAGCCTTCCAAGTAGCCGGAACTATAGGCACATGCCACCACGCCTGTCTAATTTATTGATTTATTGTAGAGATGAGGTCTCACAAGTTGCCCAGGCTGGTCTCGAACCCCTGGGCTCAGGCAACCCTCTCACCTCAGCCTCCCAAAGTGCTGGGATTACAGGCTGAGCCAACGAACCTGGCTGGGGGTCTCTTTCATAAACCTATAGTGCAGTGGCACAATCATGGCTCACTATAGTCTGGAACTCCTGGGTGCAAGTGAACCTCCTGCCTCAGCCTCCCAAGGTGATGGGCTTACAGGTGTGGGCCACTGCGCCCAGTCTCTGGGGTCTCTTTTATTAGGGCACTAATCCCATTCATGAAGGCCCCACCCTCACGACCTCATCACTTCCCAAAGGCCCCACCTCTTAGTATTATCACATTGTGGATTAGGTTTCAGTGTATGAATATTGAGGGGACACAGACCCTAGCACTGACTGTTGTCAGAGAGCTGTCATTGTCACTGGTCCCAGGAGTCCTGTCTCATCAAAGACCTGAGTCAGCATAGAGAAGGTCAGCGTAGATCTGAGACACTGGGAAGAGCTGTTGCTTCATCACAGAAACAGATTCGGGCACCTCTAGCCTGGCTTCAAATGTCACATAACACATCAGGACCAGAGCTAGTTGCAGAAGTGACTAAGAGATGCTCTCCACAGTAGCAGCTCACCAGCATCCATGGCTGTAATAACCCGTGTCCCAGGCCAGGTCAAGGTGTGCTAGGAGAGGAGAGAGATACCATCTTCCTGCCTAGCTGGTCTCTGGTGGTCCTGCCCAGCCAAGGCTCTTGAGAAGCTGGTCTGCACCTGCTTGTCACCTGCCTGTTACCTGCTATGCTCTCTAGCCTCACCCCTGTCCATCTGTAGGATTTGTCAATGTCACTACTGGCTGTGTGACCACCAAGTCTAGCAGACCCCAAGCCCATCCCTGCTGAGCACCGATTCAGTCCTTTGGGGAGTTTTTTGTTTTAATTTCAAAACAATGATACATATTCTCTGCATTCTCCGGTAAGTATGATGCATTTGCACTTGATTGCCAGCCCACACACACTGTTTTTCTTTCCAAAAATACTTGAACTATGCCAATTACTTATACAGTGAATTTCAAAAACATAAAATACTGTATTTCCTGTTAACACTACATGATTGACCAGCAGGTTGTGACCAACTCTTTTTTGTTGTTGTTTTGCAGATAGGGTTTCACTCTGTCACCCAAGCTGGAATGCAGTGGCACGATCTCAGCTCACCACAGCCTTGAACTCCTGGGCTCAAGCAATCTTTCTGCTTTGGTCTTCCAAGTAGCTGGGACTACAGGTGTGTGCTACCACACCCTGATAATGTTTTTTTTTTTTTTAGAGGCAAGGTCTCACTTTGCTGCTTAGGCTGGTCTTGAACTCCTGGCCTCAAGCAATCCTCCCACGTTGGCCTCCCAAAGTACTGGAATTACAAGCGTGAGGCACCATGCTCAGCCTGTGACCAACTCTTTACTTGGACATGCTAGCAGAATGTTTCAGACTTCCAGAGACTTAAAAATAAACAAACAAACAAACAAATAAAATAACTTCCATTAGATACTGAAGAGCAAATTAAAATGCTTCAGACTTCTCAAGTTTTAATTTTACTCTATTCCATCAGTGATTGACTCAGCCCCAAGGATACTGGCAGCCAAAACCAGGGCAGAGGCTCAGGAAGACAGATGAGGCTGGGACCCACGGTTGCCAGGACGCTGAACTGGCCAGGTGAGGCCTGGGTGGGCATGAGTGAGCCTCAGCCAGAGGTCACAGAGGTGGCCTCTTAAAACACCCGTGCGGCTTTGCAGCTCTGGGCCTGTGCACAGGCTAGTTTCTCCTCTGGGGGAGTCTCACTACCCTTCATATCCCAGGGATTGGCACTCCTAGAAATCACCCCCTGGTTGCCCTTGGTGCCTGCCCCACCAAGTGTCCCCCAGCACCCGGCGGGCACCTCTGGCTTACCATCGTTGTAATGTACTTATTGTATTGTCACATCGAGTGCATCCCTATGTACATCTGACATCGCCCTCTTCTCTGGCTAGGACTCCATAATGGCCCTGGCCTTTACTCCCTGAAGGTTCCAGCACCTCACTCAGGGCCCTCCACAAAGCAGGTGTTACAGAGAGCTGGCGGGGAGCCGGGGGCTTCATGGCAGGTCACCCCAGCAGCCAGTGTTTGGTCACAGGACACATAGGTCAGACAGGTAGGATTTCAAGCAGCAATGTGACCTCTGTGGGCAGATCCCCTGGGCCCAGGACCAGGCATGAAGGTAGAAGAGGGGAGGACATGAGGGGGTCTGACTGCGACCCCGCTGGCAAGTCCAGGTGGGCTGGGCCTTGGAAAGTCTTTCTTGATCTCCCCAACTTTGTGTTTTACAAATGTTGATACTTAAAGAAAAGACATGCCTGTAATCCTAATATTTGGGGAGGGGGAGGCAGGAGGATTGCTTGAGCCCAGGAATTCAAGACCAGCCTGGGCAACATAGTGAGACCTCGACTCTAGAAAAAAATTAAAAACTTAGCCAGGCATGGTGGTGTGTGTCTGTAGTACCAGCCACTTGGAAGGCTGAGGCAGAAGCATTGCCTGAGACCAGGAGGTCAAGGCTGCGATAAGCCATGATCATGCCACCGCATCTCAGTCTGGGTGACAGAGTCAGACCCTGGCTCAAAAAAAGAAAAGAAAGAAAAGGAGAGAAACTAGTACAATGCATAGCTGTCTATGCAGTCTCCACCAGTTTCTGCCATTGTTAACAAGTTGCTGTATGTGTTCTCTGTCCTCTCCTTCATATAGACATAAAATGTTACTTTCTCTATGTGTGCGTATGTGTGTCTCAGCTGTCGACAGTGTTCAGCACAGTCACAGGCTGGATCACAGAGCCCAGGTGAGCAGAAGGCTATATCATCGAGGTTTGTGTATCTACTCTGTGATGTTTGCACAATGACAAAATCACCTGACATTTCTGATATCCCTGATGTTAAGCAATGTGTGTATATAGATGTACACACACACACACACACACACACACACACACACACACACACACACACA